ATGGCATGGCATGGCATGGCATGGCATGGCATGGCATGGCATGGCATGGCATGGCATGGCATGGCATGGAGAGTGGGGTGGAGATAGAGATGAGGAGTGATACCAAAATTAGGCAGAATAAAGTTCCTAACACCAACTAATGGTGCTACCAAAGGAAGCATTGTGCAGCAGGTCTTGCAGAAGGATCTCTCCTTATTTCTGTGTGTTTTTACAACAGTGTTTCCATCCACTATAACCATACATAGACATTAAAATTTTTTCTTATCTGGTACATTAACACCACTTTTCTAGAACTCATTTCCATGCATCCTCTTCCTTCTGGAAGTGCTTTGATGGCCCTGGAGGTTCATTGAGAGGGGTCCCTGGTGTTCATATTCACTGAGTGCTCTGATTTTAAAGGTGACATTGCCTTGAAGTTTCTTTTGGCCATGTGCTCTTGCTTCTTGTTACTGATTTTGTGAATTTGCCCCAAACCCCTGGAGGCGTCCTTATCAGTTTCTCCACTGTTTCCAGCCCTGCTGTGATATCCTGAGGAGCACACTGGATCTGGGATTTCCTCCTCCCTCCTGAGTCCTAGAACTCTACAGCCAGGAGGAGCAGAGACACTGCCAAGTTCTCAGTTGGAGTGGGGCAGGATCATGGTGTTGGGGAGGAAAAGGGGGCTCCGGGAGGATGTGGGGTTTTGGAGGTGGTTTCGGCTTGGTCAGGAGAGGGTCCGAGGGGTTGGAGGGGGTCTGGATGCTGGCAAAGCCAGAGGAGAGCAGAGCCTGACAGGCCATGCTCAGAGTGGGGGAGAGGGTCCATCTGGGAAAGCTGTGGGATGCGATAGGATGGGGTGAGGATGGAGAGCAGGGTGGGGATAGGAAGCAAAGATGAGGATGGGACTGGGACAGAATTGGGTGCAGCTCAGCTCTGCTTCCTTGGGCCCATGCCATGTTTACGCAATGATCATGGAGTGCTATTCCCAGATTGGGAATTACTTCCATGAAGCACCTAGCTGATTCCCCAGGACTGCCAGCATTCCAGTGCCACCAGCACCACCAGCATCCTTCTGGTGCTGGAGGGAGCATGACCTCTCAAGGAAGAGAAACAAGGAATGGTAGAAACCTGTTCGGAGAGGGAAGGCAGTCAGAGAATGGACCTTCTCCTGGGAAGGTCTGTTTCTTATCAGGAGCAATTGCAGAGCCATTCACAAAGTCCACTTGCTTTGTGGCAAAGATGAAAAGAAAAATTAAGATCAGTTACACTAAAGCTGTTGAACTCTTACGTAGCCAAAGTTGTAAAACCGCTTCCGACTGCCCTATGACCCCACTGAGTCTGGGGAGCAACAGCAGGACAGGACAGAGAGATGAGCCAGAGGGACAGGAGAGGGGAGTTCATGGTGATCTGGGAACATTCTTCTGCATGGTTCTGACCTGGGAGGATACACTTTGGGATAAGGATCCCAAAGGAGCAAGAGGTACCAGGAAGCGCCGCTGATCTGCACAGACCCCTTTGCCTGCTGCTGCCCCACAGGGAACAGGTCAGTGGAATGTTTGCCTTCCTCCCTACCCCACCTTCCTCTCCTGCAGCAGCTGCTCTGTTCCTGACTCCCTCTCCTGGTGACTGCAGGGCCCTCCGCAGCTCCCCCCTCCTCTGCCCTGAGCTTCCTTCCACATATCCTGCGAAACATCCCAACCCTCCCACCTCTCTCTCCCACCCCAGCATTTCCACTGCCCTCCTCCCCTGCACATCTCACTCCTCCCCACTGAATCCTTCCCACTGCAGGGAGCTGCTGAGGAGCCACATGGTCCATCCCTGGATTCTCCAAGCACTGAGTGCCCAGCCACTCTGACCACAGCCAGGGGCCACATCCCACTGCCTGCCCAGCATCCATCCATGGAGGTGACCACCGTGTCCCCATCTCCTGCGTCACCCACTGAAGGAGATGATCTGTGTGAGACAGATGTCACCATCGTGGTCACCCACAGTTCGACCCTGCTCCTCTGCCTCTGTGGGCTGGTTGGGAATGGGGCTGTCATTCGCCTCCTCAGCCTGAAGGGTGATAACTTTTTCATCCGTGGCATGGCTGTCACCGACTTCCTCTTCCTTCTCCTCACAGTCCCCTCTGCCCTCATCCTCCTGGTGGAGGACGTGTCCTGCTCTCTTATCCTGCCCCTGCTGTACCTGCGTTTCCTTTTCCGACTCTCTTTGTTCTCCTGTTACTGGGTGCCGCTTTTGCTGATGACTTTCGGCCTTGCAATGTATATCAAAAAGCTCTTGAAACGCTGCTGCCGACGTGACCTTCCTAATGATCTGCTTTGGGTGGTGATGATTGTCCAGTTTTGGGCTTTCTCTGCTCTCTTCGCTGAGATTCCCACACTGACACCCCAGTGCCAATCAAATGATCAGGAGCACTGCCGGGAAGCCCTCATTGCCGTGTGGGCCATAATCCTGCTCCTCCTTGTCACACCCATAACTGTGCTGGTCATTTCCAGCACAATTAATTTAATTAAGGCCAAGTGGGGCTCCGAGCAGAAGCAACCCGAGGGGCTCGACATCGTTATCGTCTCCATTGGTCTCTTCACTCTCCTTTTCATCCTCTGCAATTTCCTGCAGCAGCTTGGTTACGTTACTGTGCCCTCCCATTTCTTTTTCCTGCTCACCTGCATCAACAGCAGCATCAAACCCTTCATCTACTTCTTGGCGGGGAGGTGCTGGAGGTCCTGCTCTGTGGAGTCCCTTCGGCTCTCCCTTGAGAGGGTCTTTGACTAGCCAGAAGAAAACACTGCCTGTAGAGATGACCCTGCCATGGACACCGGTGTCTGAGTCTATTGATTCCTCTTACTACCCTGCTGAAGGACCCTGGGGCAGTGGCTGAGAGATTCCTTGAGTGTCCAGATCAATAAATGCCCACAGGATCACCCTCGCTGTGCTGCTGCATCCCCAGCCCCTTTCCAGGCCGCTCTGGGCTCTGATCCGTGCTTGGGAGGCCTCAGCCTTGAGGAGCAGCCCCTGGGCTCAGCTCCTGTGGCGCTGATCAGAAACACCCTCTGCTCCCAGCAACTGCTGCTGTCCAACCACCTCCTGAGCTTTTTATCAACAGCCTTGGAAATTC